CAGGGATCTACGGAGGTGGCTGCCGAATATGGTTCTCCTCAAGTCAAGTTGCCTGACTTAGCGCAGAGAAATGGAGGGTGGCCACTAAATTTAAATTTCAGATAAATAACTAGCAATTACATGCATACATATTTGGAGATGTGTACGTGTGCATGTATGTGTAGCCCCAAAGGAGATCCAAGAATGGATGAGTAGGGGACTGAGATGAGCTTCCCCAACAGAAAGTCCACTTCTGAGTTTCCAGATGTCAACCAATTCTCCAACCCAAAACCCACCTGCAAGAGAGGACAGGGTTCCCTAAGAAAGGTCATTGTGGGGCTGGCGCTGGGGCGTAGTGAGTAAAGCCGCCATCTGCAGTGCCAGCATCCCATATGGGCACTGGTTTGTGCCCCGGCTGCTCTACTTCCAACCCAGCTCTCTGCTGTGGCCTGGGAAAGTCTTTGGGCTTTGCACCCATGTGGGAGACCTGGAAGAAGCTCCTGGCTCCTGGCTTCCGATCTGCACCGTTCTGGCCATTGCAGCCAATTGGGGAGTGAACCAGCAGGTGGAAGACCTCTTTCTTTCTCTCTCTGCCTCTCCTTCTCTCTCTGTGTAACTCTGACTTTCAAGTAAAATAAGTAAATCTTAAAAAAGAAAAAGAAAGGTCATTGCAACACCACGTCCAGCATACCAAGTAGTGACTCTCACACTCCTTCCCCACAAGGACCAAGACCACTGACTCATGGTCAGGAATTACCCAGATTTTTCCCAGTGTTGGACACAGGGTCCAGGGTGCTGCTATAATCAGGGTTCCAAAGTGCCTTATGGCTATTAGAGTAGAGAGATGGGGATAACGTGAGGAATGGAGTCCTGGCCCAGCTGCCTCTCACTCTGGTTGTCATTTGTCCAGCCCCCAAAAGCATAATAGCAGACAGAGCCCTTGGAAGAACCCTCAGCGTGCTGCCATCATCTGTACGAACTATGGCGTTCAGAAAAGCGAATGGAAGTCCTTGAAACTTTCCATGTTGCTCAGCCAAGACAGTAACTCAAAAATAATAATGTATCCTATAGGGAATGTTGAAAATTAATGTCACTTTGAGACTTAAAGCATGATGGTCTCATCATATCCCACATTAAGTTCACTAATTTGGTCTTTGCAAAAATTGCGGCATCATTGTGAATGAGAGTGGGTTAACAAAAACCGAAGTAACAGCTATTCCAAGTGTAATATCCTCATGAGAGCATGTGCACACAGGCAACAGACCACATACTTTCCTGGTCTTGCCTGGAGCTTGGTTAACTCTCTCTGTTGTAACATGGTCTGCAGGGGCCTGGATAATCTGGACATTCTGAGAACACCATCATGGTCTACCACAGCAATAACATCATATTAACCAAATCAAGTGAGTAAGAAATGGTAAGTACTCAGAGGCCTTGAAGAATGGGAGATAAATCCCACAGAAACTCAGGGATGCACTGCACAAGTGGCCTTCTTAGGGAATCCAGCGTCTTGGACTTCCAAAGGAGAGAGCATGCACCGCACCTTGTGCCCTCCCCATCACTGACGCACACTCCTCAGCCCCCTCGTGCCTCAGAGGCAGCGTGCTCTAAGCTTCACTCATTTTCCAAGTGATGTGGACTGTGAGGGAGCCCCGTGCAGACAGAGCCCTGCAGCAAACCCAGGCTGCTGGACAAGCAGCTCTGCGCTCGGCCCGTGCCTCACGACTGGTGGCAGGTAGAAGAGTCTGGAGGGTAAGACGTCTTCGGGGCTTCTGGCCAGCTCTGATGTGAGAGCCACCGGCAGTTCTTAGGTGAGACCATTCCATGTGTGGCAGAGGACCACTTACCATTTGAATACAGCTCCTGGCATGCCCTGGTAGAAATGGAGAGAATACGGGGCAGCAAGTGACCATTACACCAGAACGTCCCACTAACAGCTAGGCACTGTCAGATTCAACAAGTCCTAAGCTCGGGTCAGCACAGATGGAGGGAACACAACCTGGACCAGGCAAGAATGCAGGCTGCAGCCGCTGGCGAGTGCAGCTCAGACTCCTACCTCACCCACCACGGCTGAACCACCCCTGCATCCTCAGTGCAGCAGATGGAGCTGAATGAGGCCTGGTTTTGGTTGATGGATGGCAGCTCAGTGTGTGGACGCAAGCCCAGAATGGAATGCAGCAGTCCTGGGACCTTGAAGACAAAAGTGGGGAAAAATCCTCCAAAGTCAGAGCTGCCGGCCCTGCGCTTGCTCATCACTTAATGGAGAGAGAGAGAGAGAGAGAGAGAGAGAGAGAGAGAGAAGACAGTTGGCCTATGTTAGAATACAGGAGCTGTGGGCAGTGGTGACTTGATTTGATTTACAGTCGAGGCTATTCCATTGACCCCTCAGACCGGCAGCTTCAGGGTGGTGTGGTCTCACAGGGCACTTTGAGTAGTTCATGGAAAATGAAATTAAATAAACTTATTTTTGTGCAAAATTTTTTGAAATTATATATATGAGGGATCTTCAAAAAGTTCATTGAGGGGTGGGCATTTTGTGTGGCTAAGATGCCCCTTGGGACACCTATATCCCACATCACAGTGCCGATGTCAGAGCTCTGGCTCTGCTGGGCTCCAGCTTCCTGCTGATGTACACCCTGGGAGGCAGCAGGTGATGGCTCAGGTCCTTGGGTCCCAAGACTGGGTCTCCAAACTCCTGACTTCAACCTGACCCAGCCCCCGCTGTTGTAGGCAACTGAGAAGTGAACCAGCAGATGGAATATACCTGTCTCTATCTCTCTCTCTGCTTTTCAAATAAACAAATTGAATACTATGCAGATATTTCAATTTTTTGCACCAAAATAAGCATTTTTTTAAAATGTCCCTTTCTATGTATTTTTTTTTGATAGGCAGAGTTAGACAGTGAGGGAGAGAGACAAAGAGAAAGGTCTTCCTTCCATTGGTTCACCCTCCAAATGGCCACTACAGCCAGCTTGCTGCACCTATCCGAAGCCAGGAACCAGGTGCTTCCTCCTGGTCTCCCATGGGGTGCAGGGCCCAAGCACTTGGGCCATCCTCCACTGCACGCCTGGTCCACAGCAGAGAGCTGGACTGGAAGAGGAGCAACCGGGACAGTATCCGGCACCCCAACCAGGACTAGAACCCGGTGTACCGGTGCCGCAGGTGGAGGATTAGCCTAGTGAGCCACAGCACCGGCCTTCTATGTAATTTTTTTAAAGATTTATTTTATTTATTTGAAAGACAGAGTTACAGAGAGAGGTAGAGACAGAGAGAGAGGTCTTCCATCCGCTGGTTCACTCCCCAGATAGCTACAACGGCTGGAGCTGGGCCCATCCGAAGACAGGAGCCAGGAGCTTCCTCCAGGTCTCCCACGTGAGTACAGGGGCCCAAAGACTTGGGCCATCTTCTACTGTCCTCCCAGGCAATAGAAAAGATCTGGATTGGAAGTGGAGCCAGGACTTGAACCAGTACCCATATGTGATGCTGGTGCTGCAGGCTGGGGCTTTAATGTGCTGTGCCATAGTGCCAGCCCCCTCAATAAACTTTAAAGCCCATTATCTATAGTCAGTGTGCTTTCTATATAATGACAGCTGGCCTTCACCTGTACATTAGACAGCATTCTGAGTGCTTTAACTGTTACACATCCAATTCTCATAACAACTGTACATGCTACGCACCATTACTATCTCCATTTCACACCGACAATGCTATGGCATAGAGAAGTTAATCAAACTGTTCACAGAAATGCAGGATGCAGGGAGTTGACCATCTAGCTTTTGAGTTAGACTTTTAACCTCATATCACACAACATTGTCTCCTAGGCCTAAAATATTCTTCCCAAAACGCAAGCTCATCCTTTAAAACTCAGCTGAAGAACACCTCCCCAAAGAGCCTTTCTATACTTTTGCCTGTAGACTTAACTGGTCTCCTTTCTCCAAGATACCTCTTAGGGAATGTTGTATTAACAAAAAACAATACACGGATTTCAAACGATTTCGCACCAAAGTAAACTTATCTTTTTACTCCATTTTCTATGAACTTTTTGAAGTCCACTCATGCTTCATGTCAGTTTACATCTACCCGTATCACAGCATGTGACACATTATATTATCAAGTATCTGTCTTTTACTCCAGACCACTAGCTTCTTGAAGGAAGGGAATTAGCAAGGCATTCCTATGTGTTTTCATATCTTTTCTCTTTATAGGTTTATTTATTTGAAAGGTGGAGCTACAGAGAGAGGCAGAGGCAGAGAGAGGGACAGAAATCTTCCATCCACCGGTTCACTCCCCAAATGGCTGCGATACCCAGTACTGTTCCAGGCTGAAGCCAGGAGTTGGGAGCTTTATCCAGGTCTCCAACATGGGTGAAGGGGACCAAGTACTTGGGTCATTTTCTGCTGCTTTCCTAGGCACATTGGCAGGGAGCTGGATCAGAAGTGGAGAATCTGAGACTTGAACCAGCTCTCATTTGGGATGCCAGTGCTGCATCCCAATGGCTTAATCTGCTACGCCACAGCGCTGGGCCCTGTTCATTATTTCATTCAAAAAATATTTATTGAGAGGGCTGGCATTGTGGTCAGCAGGTTAAGCCAGCCTGCAATGCCTGTATCCTATACGGGTGTCAGTTTGAGTCCCGGTTGCTCCACTTCCCATCCAGCTCCCTGACTATGTGCCTAGGAAGCAACGGATGATGACCCAAGTGCTTGGGCCCCTGCACACATGTGGGAGACCTGGATGAAGCTTCTGGCTCCTGGCTTTGGTCTGGCCCAGCCCTGGCCATGGTTGCTACCTGGGGATAAACCAGTGGCTAGAAAATCTCTCTCTCTCTTCCTTTCCCTGAACCAATCTTTGGAAGGACACTGGATTGAAAGATGGGAGAGAAGTCATTTACTTGAAAGGTTTTGAGTCTAGTTTGGCATTTACCTAATAGCTGGCTTGTTATTGGTTCTTTGGTTTGATTTTAATTGGCCTTTTTTGGTGAAGAGTTTTTATTCCCTACCACAGAAAGTTCACCTAAAGAGAGTCAAAACACAGCGGAAAATACAAGTCCTCCGTCACCAGACCGACCTGCACACTCGCAAGCCTCTGGCTCCTGTTACTATCATGTAATCTCCAAAGTCCCCAGGATTCGAGCACCCAGTTACTCTCCAACACAGAGATCCCCCGGCTGCCGGCCGTTGCCTTCTGCAGGTAAAGGACGTCATTCACCTACTTGACCCAAGAAAGGCAGCCTCAAGGTTAATATGTAATTCTTTCAGTCAACTTTATCTCTTGCTAACTTGAAAGCATAGATTTTCAGTTATCTATAAATATCTGCAGTTAAGACATTGAAACCAATGACTTCCACGCATTTGTTTCCTCTGCGATAGACTTGATTCTGTTCTCTCTCGTTCAGGAAGTCCTACCCCAACAACTCATGAAATCGTCACGGTGGGTGATCCTTTACTCTCCTCTGGACTTCGAAGCATTGGCTCCAGGCGTCACAGTACTTCCTCCTTGTCACCCCAGCGATCCAAACTCCGCATCATGTCTCCCATGCGAGCCGGGAACACTTACTCCAGGAATAGTGCTTCCTCGGTCTCCAGCACGGGGACCACTGCAGACCTCGGGTCCAGTGCCAAGGCAGCTGACCATGTCTTAGGGTCACTGAGCTCAACTTCGGTGCTTCCCTCCAGCAGGCCCCGGTGAGTTCAAGACCTGGCTGCTCCACTTCTGATCCAGCTTTCTGCTGTGGCTTGGGAGGGCAATGGAATGTGGCCCAAGTCCTTGGGCCCCTGCACCGAGTGGGAGACCCAGAGGAAGCTCCTGGCTTCTGGCTTCAGATTGGCACAGCTTCAGCTGTTTTGGCCAGTTGGGGAGTGAACCAGCGGATGGAAGACCTCTCTCTCTCTCTCTCTCTCTCTCTCTGCCTCTCCTTCTCTCTTTGTGTAACTCTGACTTTCAAATAAATAAATAAACCTTTTTAAAAAAGAAAATGATTTATTTATTTTATTTGAAAGTCAGAGTTACAGAGAGAGAGAGACAGAGAGAATCTTCAAAACAGTGGCTCACTCCCCAAATGGCCACAATGGCCAGAGCTAGGACACACTGAAGCCAGGAACCAAGAGCTTTTTCTGGGTCTCCCACATGGGCGCAGGGGCCCAAGCACTTGGGCCATCTCCTACTGCTTTCCAAGGCCATTAACAGGGAGCTGGATTGGAAGCAGAGCAGCTGGTCTTGAACTGGTGCCCACATGGGATGCTGGCGCTGCAGGCAGCAGCTTAACCCGTTGTTTTAATGGTGATGTCTAATTCATGTAGCATTTCTAAGAAACTACTTAAAAGTCAAGATCATATCAACTGTTTAGTGTTATTATGCTCTACTTCCAATTACTAGCAAGTGGAAAAACCTGGAGAATTTTTGATTTACATTCCGCAGGCTACCAGAGCAGGCTAGGTCAGAGCTCGGCTGTTTTTCACAGTAGCAGGACCCCTAGAAGGAACGGAAGAGAATGCCAACACCTGGACTTGCGTACTCCTTTTTAAATTTTTAAAATTTATTTGAAAGGCAGAGAGAGAGAGAAGAGAGGGAGAGACAGAGACAGAGACAGAGAGAGATCTTAAATCCATAGTTTACTTCCCAATGACTACAACTGCCAGGGATGAGCCAGGCCGACACCAGAAGACAGAAACTCCATCCAGGTCACCCATGTGAGTGGCAGGAGGCCAACCACTTGAACCAGGGTGCTGCCCAGGGTGCGCACTAGCAGGAAGCAAGATTGGAAGTGGAGGTGGGACGTGATCCCAGGCACTGTGAAATGGGATGTGGGCATCGCACGCGGCAGGCTCTTAAACTGCTGTGCCACCGCACCTGCCTCTCCTACTCCATTAACCCTCACTGAAACCCCGTTGGGTGAGGCTCTGAGGTTAATTGACTTGCCCCTGCTCACACGGGCTAGGGCAGATCTGGACTTCAAACACAGGGCTTCTGACTGAGCAGAGTGCTCCTTCCCCAGTAGAACGCTGCCTGTGAAAGCCCTGTATTTCCTCTTTACCAGCTGCCATGTCCAGGTTCTGGTGTAGCCCAGTGCTACCCAGTGCTCCGGCCACAAGAATCCCAGGAAACAAGGACAGACTGTTTGCCAGGTGATTAGTGGATTTCAGTCGTCCACACCTCCCTCTGTCGCTCCCCCTCTTCGTGGAGGAACGACACAGGACCCTGCGCTGTTCTTTTGTCTGCTCGGCCCTTCCCGGGTTTGCTGCTGGTTCTTCCCGGGTTGGCTACCGACCCTTCCACCTCTGTGGAAGGGCGGTTCCCCCTGCCACTTTCCCCACTTCCGTGGGGGAGCGGCACACCGCCGGCCGGCTCTCTCGGGGGCTGCTCAGATGTTCCTTCAGATAGATGTTCCTGGTGCATGTTGTCTCTCTCCTCCTTTATAGTCCTCTTCCACCAATCCCAACTCTGCTACCCACACGCCGAGTACGCTGCTCTCCTCCAATCAGGAGCAGGTCCTGCTGTTTATTGGTTGAACTGGAGGCAGCTGTGTAGAAGCTGTTTCCTCCTCTCCCAGCGCCATATTGTGGGAGAGCAGATGCATAGAATAAGTCTTAATTCGAGTAACAGTCTAGTCCGAGTTGCTCCCCACACCCTCTAACAGAAACAAATGAGAGATGAGTCCGCAGATGTAATGTACAAACAATGCAGCTTTGTACCACGTGTAGAGTGCACCACATAATTTAAAGGCAATTAACAGAGAAAAATATATGGAATAAGAAGAAGGATGTTGGTCTGTATTATGAAGAACCCTAACATAATGAAGACTTTCTGATTCATGGGAAATAGGTGAGCCCAGGAATCAGCGATTCAGAGATCACTGATTCCTGGTCTTTGGGAAGGGCCTTTGGCCTCATAGCTGGGATGCCCGTTAAGACGCCCGTGTCCTGGTTCCTGGTGTTACACAGCATGGCGAGGAGGCTGCAGTCCACAGACACTCAGTCGATAGTGTATGAACAAATAGAAGAGAGAAGCTCCAAGCCTCCAGTCCTAAGGTGATGACAGAGGAGGGGAGGGTTGATGACCCTGTTTGGGTCAGCACCATCGAATCCAGGTATTGAAGTGGTACAATGTAGCCCATCAGTAGGTACAATTACTGTTAATTTCTTAAAAAGTTTTAAAGGAAAATTTTAAAAATAAAGAGGCTTCTTTCTTTTTAGCATATTGGCATCCTTCAAATATTTTGTGGAAAATAGAAGTAGGGGAGACATTTATTTTGGTGCAAAAAAAAAATGGAAATCCCTACATATCAGGAGTCTTCAAAATCTTTTGAAAATATAGATTATGAAAAAGCTATGCATGGATTGCGGGCTCTTTTTTGTACCAAAACGAACTTGTCTTTTAGATTAATTTCTCCATGAACCCTTAGAAGAATCCTGATATTTTCCCCTAATTATATTTCCCCCTAATCTTTCATAGCATAACAAGAACGACTACACCCAACACAGCAGTTATTAATTAAAACATGAACAATACTGAAAGTCATATATGGATGCTCATTTTCTCCATTCTGTGGAATCCACCAGTTATTTAGTCACATGACCTAAGTGCACCTGAGTTTCTTCTCTCACCTCTCTTGCACCTTATCCTATAAACTTCAGAAGCCTTGGCTTCTGTCTCGGTCTCTGCTCCTGGAGCAGATCTCTGGGCTCTGCTAGGTTCTCCCTCTTTGCACCACAACCTGGAATTTCTTTCAAGGCAGTAAGCTGGAGCTATCTGGTTCAGCTCCCCTGGTTTTGGGCCCATCTCTCGTAGCCTGGCATCCAATGTCTAAAAACCTGTTGTTTGAACCTGTTTTACCTCTTGCTTTGATTCTTTCGGGCAGAAGGTAAATCCAGTAGCTGCTACTCCATTTAGCAAGAGGCAAGCATTGATCTCCCTTTTTGCATTCTTAATCCTCCCTCAGCCTGCACTCCCCCTGCACATGTGTGCTACTGCAATCCTGCCGTCCTTCTGCAGGGTGCAGCCGCCCTGTCTGCAGTGTCCCTCGAACAATCCACATCCCCTCCATCCTGCTTATCTTCCTTACTCAGGCATCCACTCTCATCCAGTGTCACCCTGCCCCGAGTAGGAAATCCGTGCAGGGTTCAACCCCAGCCCCAGCCCTTCCACTTATCTTCCTAGGACATCTGATAGCAGTGGAAACCAGCGCAACTGCGGGGTCAGACCTCACAAATGAACTCAGTGCTGGGGTCAGGACTATAATGAAGAGGCGAGTTAAGACAGCTGTTGTTCTGCCCAGCTGTGAATCTGGGGACAGGCAGAGCCCCTTCATGAATAACCTATAACTACCGGCTCATCTAGAAAAGAATCTTTCCTCCACACCCGCCTCAGTTTTACTCTTATCTTCTACTGCTAAACACAGTGTCTTTGCCTAAGATAAGATTGATATCAACTGGCTGTTTTTAGATATCAATCCAGCCCAAAGATTAGGAGGAATGGAATGTTCCTTTGAGTAGGGACTCTGCGTTTGCAGCTTGTTAATGATTGTCTTTCTGTGAGTTAGTAAAACAGAGATCTCGTTTAGACCTCTTCCTGGTCTGCCTTGGAAATTCTGTCAGCCATCACCTTCCAGGCCAGTTCCACTCAACAGTTACTGAACATGTATTATGAACTAGGCTCTGAACTATGTAGGAGCTGGGGATACCAAGGGAAAATATAGACGTTTTCCTATGTAGTAGTAACGAAATTCATCCATCCATCCACTCACTCATCCATCAATTCTTTCATTCAATGTGTAAACAGATAAGCATAATGGTAGGGATGTGACTGAATTATGCACAGAGTTCCGTGACACCAAGCCGTAGTGGCCTCTGCCTAGACTGGGGAGATTTGAAAGTTTTTCGGGATGACATTGTCGTCTCACTAGTCTTAATGGATCAATGGAAGTCGGGTGAAAAACAGGGGCAAGAAAGGAGAGCCCCGACAAAGAGCTTCAGGTAAGACGGCAGGAGAGGCATCGTGGGGCAAGGCGTGGGAGAATGTAGAGATTTTGTTTGGCTAGAGCGTGAAGGTCAAGGTGGAGAGTGTTGGAAGGCAAGACTGGAGAGATGGTAATGACCCAAGGGTGGAGATCTGGGGGGTAAAGCTAAAGAAAGAGTGGGTTGGGGCTGGTGCTGTGGTATAGTGGGTAAAGCCGCTGCCTGCAGTGCCGGCATCCTATATGGGCACCGGTTAGACCTGGCTGCTCCACTTCCGATCCAGCTCTCTGCTGTGGCCTGGGAAAGCAGTGGAAGATGGCCCAAATGCTTGGACCCCTGTACCTGCGTGGGAGACCTGGAAGAAGCTCCTGGCTCCTGGCTTTGGATCGGCACAGCTCTGGCCATTGTGACCATTTGGGGAGTGAACCAGCAGATGAAAGACCTCTCTCTCTCTCCCTATCTGTTTAATTCTGACTTTCAAATAAATAAATAAATCTTAAAAAAAGTGGTTTTTTTCTGTAGGAGGTGATATATAGGAAGATCTTTAGGCAGGG